GGTGTCTTAATGAAAGAAATTTATTTCCTAATAGATCTGAAGACTAGAAATCCAAAACCAAAGTGTCAGCAGGTTATATTCCTACTAATGAATCTCCTTTGCTTGCAGATGGCTGACTTCTCATTGCATCCTCAYATGGCCTTTCCTTTGTGGGTACACATCYCATGTCTCTATGTGTGCCCAACATAACTCTCCTCCTAAGAAACACCATTTAGATTGGATTTGCACCCACACCAATAGCCTTGTTTTAACTTAATCACACATGTAGAACCTTATCTCTAAATTTAGTCGAATTCTAGGAAACTGCAGTTATGGCTTCAACAAGAATTTTGGAGAGACCCAATTAACACCAYATCCCAGGAGGAGTATTGGAATTAATTACAATTTGAAGGTGACTTTTAGTATCTGACTTAGGGCATCAAGTTATGAGTACCAGTGAGGAACTGCTGGTGTAATTAAAGGCTTTTTCTCTTAAAGTTTTTATAACTCTTTGGCCTTCACATCTCTGCAAGAATCAATCCCAATCATGATCATGTTGTCTTATGGTGTAATAGGTTTTCTACTTCTCCATAAAGGGCAAAACTCAAAGTATTTTTATTTTTAGGTTCAGCGATCATTTGAAATACCAGGTGTTAAAGCTCAGATGCCCACAATTGAAAGACAAACCTTGACTAAACTTTTTTACCTCTTCCCAGGCAATTAAAATCCGTAAGTATCTTTATTTTTTTAATTGATTTTATTATTTTTTTTAAATACACGACAACAGTGGAATGCATTACAATCCTTATTACACATATAGAGCACAATTTTTCATATCTCTGTATATAAAGTATGTTCATGTCAATTTATGCCATTATACATGTACATKTTTTTTTGCATTACAATTCCTTTTTAAAAAAAATGTTTAGTTTTTAGCTTTAGGTAGACATAATATTTTTATTTTATTTTTATGTGGTGTTGAGGATCGAACCCAGTGTCTCACATATGCCAGGCAAGCGTGCTATCACTTGAACCATAATCCCCAGCCCCAGCATTGCAATCCTTAATACACATATATACCACAATTTTTCATATCTCTGTTTGTMTATAAGATGTGTTGACACCCAATTCAAGTCTTCATACATGTACTTTGTGTATCTTTAAATGATGTTAATAAATTCTGATGTGACTAGAATAAGAGACAGAATGGTGACAGGTTGTGTCCAAATGGGCTATATTTGTATTTTTGTATTTTGTTTAATTCTTTTATTCTTACATTCTTCTAAAAATCTATAAAAAAATATAATGTTTTTTCTTTGGCCATGGACAAGCAGCTGATACTGTTCCTGTCTTGCAGTAGCAAATAATTAAAAAACTAGGGAAAAAATTGAAATGACTATTTTCAAATACTGAACAATGGGCAGTAGGATTGCTTTCATTGAGAGTAGAAAATCACAGAAGAAGAAATTACACCTATACCACACATAGTTTTATGTCATGATAAAATTCTAGCGTACAATTCAGGGCAAGGTAATTTAAGGAAAATAATGAGAGTTTCACTGAATTGAGAAGACAGAACAGAACTCAGGTATGCTGAGGCAAATATTAATTTCTAAGAGAAATTCATTCTCTTAGAATATCCAGAGATAGAGATAGGCAAAGAACTCCAGACAGCTAAACAGTGTGCCAACCAGTCATTGAATATCATTCTGCACACTCATGGGATGACCAAGAACCAAAGAAAAAGAAAAAGAAAAACACTGCTCTGCTAACATCATCCACTGAATGTTCACACAGCATGGGGAAATGGTTGATTTCTAATGAGGCCATTAAGAATCAGAATATATCAGCAGAGATCTCAGTGAGGTCATGGCTTCACAGAGGAGAAAAAATAAGTCCTGGAACAAAARCTACTCTAAACCTTATCAACACTTAAAAGCAGGACTCTGTAAGAAAAAGCAGAACAGTTGGGCTCTATAAAAACTGTTTCACAAGACGCTATTCAGGAAATTAAAAGACAAGCCATAGTCTGGAAGAAAATATTCATAATGCTTTCTTTTTGACAAAGATCTTTCATCAAACATCTTTAAGGAACACTTTATAACTCAATAATAACAAAACAAACTATTTAGTAAAACCGGGCAAATAATTTCGACATTTTAACAAAGAAAATACATAAATTGCATGAAGTGRTGTTTAGCATCTTTTAATTATCAGGAAAATTCGAATTGAAATGACAATAAAATATTAATAAGGTGGTCAAAATCTACATGTAACTCAAATATCTGTCACCATGCTACTGGGTAAGCTAATTATTATGTATCCATAGAGGGCAATGCTTCTCACTAATGAAGGGCATGAACTTTCCCTATACACATCAAAGTAGAAAACCCTCCAAAGTATTTTATTGATCCAAAGAATTCTTACACAAACAGTGCATAATACTGTATAACTCCATTAATATTAGTACTAGCAAAACTAACATGGTGACAGTAATCAGATCAGTGGTTTCCTTGAGCGAGRGGCTGGTATAATTGTTCACAATTATGCTTCTTAAGATAATGTAAGTGTTCTATGAGCAGACTTCAGTAGTGTGTACAATTAGCGAAACACACTGAACTTTACACCTAAAATKGGTATATATTATTATGTGCCAATTATTCCACAATAAAGTAAATTAAAGATGACAAAGATAAGCAAATTAAAGAGTTTAAATATTGATGGTACACATAAATTTGAATAGGGATTATCAGGGATGTAGCTCAGTGGGTAGAGTGCTTGCCTTGCATGCACAAGGCCCTGGGTTCAATCCCCARAACCAAAAAAAAAAAAAAAAAAAAGTTTTGAATAGGGATTTATTCAGATGTACTAACCCAACTAAAGTTGTGTTCATGTGTTACTGAAAGGAAAGTGAGGAACCAGGAGACAGGAGAGTGAGAAAGGTGAGACTAGGTAGAGATAAGCACGGGAATTTCCTTGTCAGAGCTGACAAATAAAGGCAATCTCTCCATAGACAAGAGAGCCAACACAGGCTTGAGGTTTAAGACTTTTATGGAGGAAGCTCAGATATTACAGCCAGGTGGGTCCTCATGTGGGCAGTTCTGGGTGGAGTTGGTATGAGGGAGTGGTGAGCCTTTTTCAGAAAGGCAATTGGGTGGGAATGCAAAATTTTTCTTAAGATGGCCATCCAGATGCTAAGCAAGGACCTTACAGTTATCAGTATGAATGACCTTAACTCAAGTGGTRCGTGCTCGCCTGGCATGCACCAGGCACCTGGGGACGCTGGGTTCCATCCTCAATACCACATAAAAATAAAATAATAATAAAAAACCCCTTAGTATCAAATCTGGTGAAAGCAGTTGTTCAGTGGACTAATGCTGCTCAGGTACTAATAGRTAGCATAAGGTATTTTTAGTCGTTGCTTATGTTGATAGTGCTCTCATGCCATAAGCAATCTCGTGACGCAACTCAGAGGTTATTAAGTTAAACTCTATGCAAAGAATTTTGTATGAGTCATTTTTTCAATTACTTATGGTAGTACATTGAATTTTCTCAAATCAAAACACTTCTAAATATGTATGAGTCAGAAATTTACTTATTTAGGCAAATAGTGCTTATTATATTGAGAAACAGAGATATTTCATTGTACTTAAATGTAAGAACATACTTGAAAGTTTTATTCTGAAATAAACTTCATTTATTACTTCCATTATCACCAAAATTCTTCCTCATCATATCTACTATACCTGTAACCTGTAACCTTTCTGGACTCATAGAGATATAGTTTGGAATGATGGATTTACCATGATTGTGTTGAAGCTGTTCATTATTTCAGGTATTATTCCTGAGAGATTACTATCATACATTATGTCCTCTCGTTTCTCTTTTTTCTGAAGAAAGTCACAGGAACCACTCCCTACCAATCTAGTAGGATATTTACAATTTTTTTTCCCAATAAGATGAAAAACAAATGAACTGGTATGTAGTCACATTACCTTTTGTGGCAGTTGTCCATGAAGAAGAGGGTTGGGGTAGCCTGGAGAATAATAGTAAGGAGTAGAAGCTAAATTAATGTAACTGAACAAGCTTCATTTCTGATAATTTCACTGTAGTAACACCCACTCCTAAACACACACACACACACACACACAAACCAAAAAAAAAAAAAATCTTAATTGAACTTCTCCAGGGACTCTCACCATAATTGTTCTTAGACTCTCAACAAGAATTTCTGCAAAAGAATTTTCAAAGGGAGTGTGTTTGCAGAAGGTGAGAAAGGTAAGAGAAGCTAACTCAAGGCCTCCCAGCCTGGGTCCAGAGTCCTCACAGAGGCTTTTGCATTACAAAGTTCAGTAGTTTGATCCTGGGGAAGGTGGGAGGAGAACTCTCCCTTTCYTGGGCACTGATTTTCACAGAGAGTGTCCTTGGCCTGAATTAGTTGCCCAGAAGTATAGGAAAAAACCCTACTATTATGTAGACTTCTACATATTGTGAGCCTTTGGGTATAGAGTTCTAAAACACTGGGTATAGAGTTCTAAAACTTTCTGAACTTGGGGTTCAGAAGGATTAAGTGATAGTAGCGAAAGTATTTCTCCCTCTGGACCTGGCTGCAGCCAATAAACCTGCTTCCTGCTAATTCCTCCATGTCCAGCCTTGTCTGTCCTACTTCACACCATGATTCCTGTGGTCCACAGTTCCTGACTCTGGATTTCCTTTAAGAAGTGATGTCAACATAGAAGTCACTGCTTTCATTCTTAAAAGTCTGAGGTTCTGTCAATTGCTTTCTAGTTTTGGAATTTTGTAGTATCTCAGAGAGAAGTTGCATCATATTAATCTACTGGGTATTTCCAATTGTATCATATTAACAATATTAAATACCTAGAATAGCTCCAGGTGTTCAGGATAAACTCAAGATTATCATTATCCAGGGCAGCTTGTGGAATGAAAAGTTGTATGGCATCTTCATGTAGGAAGAAAATAAAAATTATTGGCAAGTTCATCTTTATAGAATATTTTCTAATTACCTGAACTGTGCTGAGGGTATATCACTTGGGACCTGCCCTTTTGTGTGCTATAACCTTTTCTTCCAGTAAATTTTCATGTAGAGAGTGTATTTATTCCTCTTTTTACTGCTATGAAAGTACATATTTCTGAGAGTAGAAACTCTTTGTGGACAGTTAGTCTAAATTCTGCTCCTTATTCTAAAAGTTTTTGTGTCTGTAAGCCTACTGTGATATTTATGAATTATTTATTGTCATGTAACATGATGTCCTGAATTTTAGTGGCTTCAATACAACAATGAATCGATACCTCACCCTTTCTGTGACAGAAATCTAGGCAATAGGAAATCAATTTGATGATGGTCATGATCTTTTAAATGTGTTGTAAATTTGCAAGTATTATATTAAGGAGATTTTCATCAACATTAATGACAATACCCAGCCTAGGCTTTTCTCTTGTGTGTTTTTGTCTTTATCAGATTTTGGTATTAGGGAAATACTGGTTTCACAGAATGAGTTTGATGAGTTCCTTCCCTTTCTAACTTATGTAATGGTTCAAGGAACATTAGTGATAATTCTTTAAAAGTATGGTAAAATTCAGTTGTGACTCCATCCAGTCCTAGGCTTTTCTTTGTGGAAGACTTTTTATTAYTGTTTCAATCTCATTTCTTATAATTGATCTGTTTTGATTTTTATACACTGTTAGTTCAGTTTTGTTAAGTTA